GTATATTGTCTCCTTCAATTTTCCACGATGCATTTGCTTGGCCCAGCTTTCAACCGAAAACAGTTACTGATCGATGAGTATGGCTACTTCAACTGCAACTGCAACTGCAATGAATGAAATTTTGTTAAATACTTCACCAGATCAACTGTCTGCACTGCATGCATTCCATTTTACACTCAACCAGGTCTTGAATGCGGTTGCCACTTCTCTACCTCTGCTTTCTTCTGCTCGTTGCAAGGAACCACTATGAGGAGCTCAAAGACGCAGATGTACCCCGTACAGTTTATGAGTTTCTGCATATATATATATATGCAATGCAATCTTCTTCTTTAGCATAGATACAAGAAAACATAAAAAATGCACAACAAGGTCATTCTTTGTAAGTCGAGTGTAGCGTGCATGATTTCATTGTGTTGTGGAAAATGAAACGTGCCACACGGATGACAATCTCATCATGTACTCCAATGTGAACCTGGTTTAAAGAATTTAATCACACCCTGCATCCATTCAATCTATTTCCCCTGCTAGACAGTGAATACCCTAGTTTTTATCATATGTGAACTAGTAGTGTACTCTACTTACTTGCTTTCCTGGTTTGTATTCTTTGATGACATTATTGTTCTCCAAAATAATGAAGGATAATCAACCTCCCCATGCCATGAAGCTTCAAAAGAATAAGAAAGTTTTAAATTGAGAAATTCACACACCTCAAATAGAGTTTACATTTTTGAAGAATATACTGATACTACGATTGTCTTACTTAACTTTATATATAGTCCTTCGTGCTGGAGCTACAGATGTTTCTAGAACTTTCTGTTTTTTAGAGGGGGGGAATTTGCAATACTGTAATATTGTAACTAATTCTCTCTTATTCCAGACCCTCCACCGCCTCCATAAATAACCACCTGAGCTCCGTTCACACACACCTTTCACATTTTTCTCATTTTAGAATCTCTCTCTCTCTCTCTCTCTCTCTCTCTCTCTGAAACAGAAGCAGAAGCAGAGGCTTCTTCATCATCTCCATTAATATCAATGGTTTTCTGCATCCCAAGTCGCCTGAGTATGTCATCCCTGATCGCATCTCTCTGCGTAGCCATAGCTGCTTGGCTAACCCCAGTTGGAGATATGCTTTACCACCAAATGAGCCTCCCTTGGAACCTCCTCCATCTTGTTCTTCCTCGGCATTGACATCCTTCTCCTCAACCTTGCCTATCGCTACTACACCAGAGCCAGAGCCAGTAATTCTTTTACTTCTTCGCCACCGCCGCGGCACCTTGACTTTGTCAGAGACGTCGTTGACCTCGTCGTTCTCATCGCAGGCCTCTTTCTCCAGGGATTTATAGATCCTGAACACTGTGGCTGGCCTTGTCTGCAGCTAATACTCGCGCTGTTTGTGGTGATTTTTACGTTTTTTCTAATCATCAAATCGACGATGGACTTGGGCGTAGCGGATCTTTTTCTTGCTATAATTTCCGTCTTCATGGTCTACTTCAGCAAAAGGCACGAGAAATTGAGTGCGGCAGCCACGGGTTTTGTCAGCTTTATTCTCATCTTTGTAAGGAACCCACTACGAGAGAAGTTTAAAAACGGAGAAGTAAAGCGTACATTATATGCGGTGATCACGAATGAGCTATTCCCTGCCGTCAAAACTCGTCTTGCCAATTTCTCTCCTCGTTTGATGAATTTTTTGGTTTACGTTAATTGGATCATCAGCCTTGGTGGAGAAGAAGACTTGGAATTACAAGATTTTGCACAAGCAGGAGGAGCAAAAGAAAAAGAACAAGCAGGAGAAGCAAAAGGAAAAGAAGCAGAAAAGGAGCCGCTGTTAGCAACTGATCAACATCGTGACGTGGCGTCATCTTCAACCGTTGGAGAAGCCCAGAAGGAAATTACATCGGAAGATTAGTAGTACTAGCTAGTAGATATGAAGATCTTCTGTTTGATTCTATCGTTTTAATTTGGTTCATCATCATCGTCTTTCCTTTAATTTTCTGGTAATTCTTTCATTTCATGACATGAATTTGCTACGTTACGTTTGGATCCTTTGCAATATTGTATCGTGCATGGGCATGAAGTGGCTGTAACTGGTGCTCATGAGTTTTTACTCGAGATAATTGAAAGAATATTTGGGTAATATTACGTCACACCTATGTCATATATGCAATGCGAGCTTCTTACAACGCCATGGCCTCTTCCTTAATTTTTTCCTTTTTCTTTTTAATGGTTTTTTTAATACAAATTTCGGAAATGACACCCAACTGTACGTAATATTGGATACATAGAAGAAACGGTTACTGATAACCTCGGCCTGCTCAGCTGCAAGAAAATGAAATTCGTTACGTCCATTTTCTTGCCATCTGTTTTGCACATGGTGTAAAAAAGTAACATAGAAGAAAACATGAAACATGTACAACAAGGTCGTTGTAGTATAGTGGTAAGTATTCCCGCCTGTCACGCGGGTGACCCGGGTTCGATCCCCGGCAACGGCGTTTGCTTTTTAATAGAGGATGGTTTTATTTTTCACAATTGAATACAGCATACGACATGTCGTTAATAATCAGAGGAGGAGCCCGTGGACCCTGGGTTTTCGGATTTAAACAGAAAATGGAAGGCTCAAGGGTGACCAAAAAAAAGACAAATCAAAGCAAACCAACAAATAAAAATAGCGCCCGCGAACAAGTAGCAGACGAGAAAAAAAGAGAGAGAGTATTTAGTAGGAGAAATGAGGACGACAAGCGAAGCCTCCTCCCTTCTGATTCTCCCCATTCAAATTGTACATCTTTGTCCATCTTTGCTTACTTAACAACTTATTTCCTTTTGCTTTTCTGCGGCCTTTCATCGAGCAGGTTAGCTTCATTTTCTTTGTCTTGGTCAGTTGCCTTGTCCAAAGCGCATGATCAACAATTTGCAGTCTTTGTATTTTCTTTGACGTTATAGTTTATGCGCATGTTAATTCCCATGAATTAATTTGTTCATATATCTTCTTTTTTTATATATAAATTGCCAGAAACAATGATCAGGCTATTTAAAGTTAAAGAAAAGCAAAAGGAAATCGAAGAAAATGCAAAGGAGAAGGGCCTAGTCAAGAAGCAAAGTGCAGGGGAATTACGTCTTCATAGAGGTTTTTACCTTTCATTTTTGAGTATATGTTGGTGACCATTATTTTCCATGCATGTTCACAACAATGTGCATAACCCATGCAATCCCTGCCTATTCATCAGTAATTTGGAATGTAGATATGTCATATAATTGACATCTTTCTTTTCTGTCTGCGTGGAATAATCTGGATGGCAGCAAGTGATATCATCATGTCCAATGATGATTTGGTGCATCCTCATAAACAGCTTACTTACATGTTGTAATTATTCGTATTTGTAGTTCCGGAGCATGTACTTGCACACATAATTTCCATCAGTCTCCCCTGTAACATTCATTTTACATAAATCAAATTTTTATACGACTCTGTTATGATTATTTTGTTGCTCCCATTGTCTCATCGAACTCATTCCTTGCCCCATTTTACGATCAAACTATCAAATTCTTGCAATGTGGTATTCAACTTATGTAGTGTTAGCTCTGCCAATACCACCCTATCAGCTTCCTGAATATGTTTTTAACTGCAACTTTGAATAAGCAACAATTTGGTATATATTTAATTCCTTCAAGTAGTCCTTGAATTGTATTATTCTGTTCTCATATCTATCTTGAGACCAGATTATGAATTTTACCTTTTTGTTTCTTGTAGACATAAGTGAGTTGAACCTACCAAAAGCATGTGAAATATCTTTCCCTAATGGAAAGGACGATCTCATGAACTTTGAGGTCACCATTGAACCTGACGAGGGATATTATACGTAAGTTATCTTTGATCAGGACATTTAAATCTTCTGCTTAAAGTTAATTTGGTTTCTGGAAATTGTTTCGAATTGCAAATTTCATGTCATCTAGCTGAATGCCCTCCCTTTTCTACCTCTTGTGACAGTGGTGGCAGGTTTGTCTTCTCATTTCATGTTCCCATTATCTACCCTCATGAAGCTCCAAAGGTCAAGTGTGAAACAAAGGTAAAGAAACCTAGGTGCCCCATTTTGGGCCAAATTTATTTTCCAGTCTATTGGTATTAATGCTGCAAACTATTTTATTCACCACTACAATTTCTGATGTTGTATGCCATTTGCAGATCTACCATCCCAACATTGACTTGGAAGGGAATGTTTGTCTTAACATTCTTCGAGAAGATTGGAAACCTGTCCTCAACATAAACACTGTTATTTATGGATTGTCTCACCTATTCACGGTATCTCCGATTCTTTTTTCTGCTAAGTTTTATTTGTATGTTCCCCTTTTCCCCTGTTGCTTACTCAAATCCTGAGTATCTACTTATGCAGCAACCCAATTATGAGGATCCCTTGAACCATGAGGCAGCCGATGTTTTGAGGGATGATCCAAAGTTGTTTGAATCAAATGTGAGAAAAGCAATTGATGGTCGTCAATGGGTGGGAACCGACTATTTCTCCGGGTGCAATTGAGAAGATTTTCAATCCGGTTATCTAGGGTTGCTTGTTCAAGGTCCAAGGCTGTATAGGGGTGAAGGTTGTCTTTCCTAGAGTGTTTCTACATTTCAGGTGAGCAGGGAGATTGTTTTGTGTCACAATTTTCAGCCGATACTTGTTATAGTAGGAGGCCATTTGTGTGCTAGAGTAATTCAAATTCTCTTCCCATTAATAAACAAGGCGTCATGTCAAGACTTGGTTTTTGGTTTTTCACATTAACTTAAACAAAATGATCACCATTTAATTTACACATGCATGAAGCAACCTGAGAGCTTCTTTTTTTTCCTCCTTTATTCCCCAGTGCAATCAGTTTTGTAGTCTTTTTTGGTCCAGACCTGGAAAATTTGGGTTGGGCCTGTCGATTAAATGTCGGCACTCAAAAGCCCATTATTTATTCGAAAACTGTTTTTTTTTATTCTCTTATGTTGCGAACCCAAATCCATATGCAAACAGAAAAATCCACAGTGTTCAGAAAGTGGGTCCCACTGCAACGGCCGGACCCGCAAGAGAATTATTAGGTCATCGGCGAAAAGAAAAAACAGTTATATAAAAAAACTCCACGCGGCAAATCGTTTTTCTCTCTCTCTCTCTCTCTCACTCGCATCAGAATGGACTTGCGTGCACCCACCAGTAATAAACGACGCCGTCAAGGTCTTTGAGTGCACACGCGACACATTTCAACATGCCCGAGTCAGGCTTTATTTTTGTTACCACTGAGAGAGAGATTCTTCTACACAAACCAGCGAAAAAGCGAAAGCGCATTCCTCGTGAACACACGCATCTCCATCTCTGATTCTGCCGAGCTTAAATAGCCTGCGACGCACCTTACGCGGAGCTCGACATTGCAAAGCGCCTGATACTGAGAGAGAAAAGAGAGGGAAGATAATTGATCGGAGAATGACGTCGGATGGAGCCACGTCTGCGGCGACGGTGGCGCGGAGGAAGCCGTCGTGGAGGGAGAGAGAGAACAACCGGAGGAGAGAGAGGCGGAGGAGAGAGAGGAGTAGGAGAGCCATAGCTGCGAAGATATTCGCAGGGCTCCGAGCTCAGGGCAACTTCAATTTGCCCAAGCACTGCGACAACAACGAGGTGTTGAAAGCTCTCTGCCTCCAGGCTGGCTGGACCGTCGAAGACGACGGCACCACCTATCGCAAGGTCCCTCTTCCCTTCTCTTCTTCAATTCACTTTAATTGTCCCAATTCTTCAATTTCTTTTTTTAATTTCTAATTATTTTCCCATAATTGTCATAGCTCAGATCCAAAGGAAAAATCTACCTGAAAATTAATTTACTGATGAATTCTAATAATGTGATGGTGGTGTTGTCGTACAGGGATTGAAGCCAACCCAAATTGATACACCAGGCACATCAACCATGATCAGCCCTTACTCTTCTCTAAATCCTAGTCCAATCCCATCCTACCAAGCCAGTCCTTCGTCGTCTTCCTATCCAAGCCCAAGCCGTTTCGATCCCAGCACTAATTCATCCAATCCCAGTCACTATCTGCGCTCTGCAATTCCTTCGTCTCTCCCTCCTCTGCGAATTTCCAATAGTGCCCCTGTAACCCCACCGCTCTCATCCCCAACCTCCAGAAACCCCAACCCAATTCCAAACTGGGACTCCATTGCTAAACAGTCCATGGCCTCTTTCGATTACCCGTTTTATGCTGTCTCTGCTCCGGCAAGCCCTACCCGTCACCAGCTCCATTTTCCAGCTGCTACCATTCCCGAATGTGACGAGTCTGATACTTCCACTGTTGATTCTGGGCAATGGGTTTGCTTCCAGAGATTTGCTCCTTCTCTGTCAGCAATGCCAGCCTCTCCCACCTTCAATCTTATGAAGCCTGTTGTTGCTCACCAAAACTTGCCTGACAGTGAGATCCCAGAGGTAAAGCCGTGGATTGGAGAGAAGATTCATGAGGTGGGATTGGATGATTTGGAGCTCACACTTGGAAGTGGTAAGCCTCGAAGTTAAGCCCAGCAATTGGGTGGGGGGGTTTGGATTCAGAGTGTGAGTTGCTGAGTTATGAAGGAAGAGAAAGAAAAGAGGTTGTACTTGTTCATCTGCCACAACCCTTTCTGGGTCAAACTGCATATCTCGAACCATACTTGGTTATATTGCTTGCAAGAAAATAGATTTCGTTTGCGATTTAAGTTAATTTTATTCCTTCTGTCTCAATTCGAATTTGTTTGGGATGTTCTCAGCTTCAGAATATTGTGTACCGTTTCTTGTTCAAATTAACAGTTCTTTTTTTGTATCATTATTTATTTTTATAATCAAATTTGTAGACTCAGAAAACCCACAGCAAAATGGGAATGTTGTTGTACATTGGAAAGTTTTATTTTGCGGTTTCGTTCTTCGTGCCTAATTATAATCCATCGTATTAAACCTTTTTTAACATTGTATTCAATCGCAAACGTTGAAGAAAATTTTAAACACAATGCACCAAACAAGCATTATAGATCACAAACACGTGCTTTTCTATGATAATGTGAATATTTATTACTAGACACCAAAATGACGATAACGCAGCAAATTTGACAACTCAAACTGATCTCTACAAAGCATCAGCTTCTTACATAGTGGTAAGAGTCTAACGCAATACTTTTCTGGTTGGTTAGTTTAATGACACAGACACAGACACAGAGTGGCATGAGAAAAGCACGCAACGACTACAAAGTAAAAATGGAAAACATCTACTTTTTACCTTCTTACAGTAATTTCTAAATTATGTGGATTTGTGTAATTAGTAACAAAGTTTGGCTGTCATTTGTGCTCTCCAATCTCCATAGCTTCACTTAGTTTTAGCACCTCCGTCTTCCCTTCCGTCTTAAGTTTCAGGTCTAATTTTTTGTCATTTGCATTGCATTCCTTGCATCTGAAGCATGTTAGGAGATGATCGTTCACAATCCCTGCCACTTGCATAAACGAGTAAATGACAGTAGGACCAACACAACGAAAGCCTCTCTTCATCAAATCTTTGCTTATGACTTCAGCTTTTGGCGACTTCACCGGCACTTGGCGTCCATAACGAAATCCGTTTCTTATTGGCTTGTGGTTCACAAAGCTCCAGCAGTAGTTACTGAAGGAACCAAACTCCTGCTGAACCTGCAAAGTGCAAATGTGTGAATCACATGGAAACCTATTATTTTAGAAGGATTTCAATAAAGGGATCATTTGTTGATTTTGGAAACTAGGGAAAGCACATTATGAACGCGTGCTTAAGCAATGAATCATGCAATGCATATTGCTTACCTTGAGCATTTGCATAGCATTCTCCACAACTGCACGAAGCTTTTGTTCAGATAGCAATGGAATGCCATTTACTTTGAGAGATAGTAGCTTCTTCTCTTCGAACTTTGCTATGGATGACGGATCAAAGTCGTCAAAAAGTTTCCTGCAAGGAGCCCAAGGGGACAAAACAAGTATAAAACTATAAGCATACAGGCATACCTTTCTTCACAAAGCTCGCTAAACTATAGATGCAATATGGAGTACGATAAATGGAAACAAGCATACCGGAACATGTCTCTCTTGTGTAGAATTTCTGGCCAACTGAGTTCGGCTAGAGCTTGTGAAAGGACGAGCAACTCAAACAGCTTCTTATCATCATAAACTGGAACCCCCCATTCTTCATCGTGGAAACAAGTATAAACTGGGTCTGTTGTTCAAGTTAAAGTAGCAAGCAAGAAATTTCATTAGAGGCCAGAAAGCATAGTTTCGATTCAGGCGGGCTAATCAATGGAAGTCAAAAAAATGTTAAGGATCATATTCCGGTGGAAGCCAACGCCCTTGTAAAGAAATGTTGCAACTCTTCAGGCATAGAATTGTGTTAATTCCTAATTGAGTTTTTGGTTTCTTCAAGAAACACATTTGCATCATCTTGGTAATAAAATTATGTCACTCAAACTAAATAACATTCTCAATTCTCAAACACTCTACCCTATCCTCAATCAAACAATTGTGCACAGTAAAGAAGTCCACCTAATTATCAATATAAAGCAATATAATTATAAAAGAAACGTTATAATCTTTTTATGAAATGAGAAGAAGAAAAAAAAAAAAAAAACAGTTCATATTTCTTGCATGTAAAAATTAAGGAAAGCATTTTACACTCAAAATTCCAAATTTTCATATCTTTGTCGTCAATTTCGCAGCAGGCAAACATAAATAAGAGGAAAATTAACAAAAGCACGGCGAATTTACCAGAGTTTGGTGTAATCCATTCACACCGTTTAGGTGGACCCGCGGGCTTGACGACCTCCATATTGTCCGAAACCAGCTTCCCAGGCCTCAAGCTCTTGTGCCTCACAGTCCTTCTAGGACTCACCGTTTTGGCAGATGAACAGCTCGACGAGGTATCAGAAGAGCAGGTGCTGTCCACCGAAACGTTTTTCCGTACAGCCGCTTCTGGAATTTCCGATACAGGTTTTCTCGGGCTCTGCGATGGCTTCTTCAAGCCCTCGTTCTTGCGTTTCGGGGCCTCTGAAACCCTAACTCTGTTCCCGCCGGGACCGAGTACAGCTCGGGGCTCACAAATCGAAGATTGAAGCTTTGTAGCCACAGACATTGCTGTAGATAGTTTCAAAAGAGAGCCCAGCTGGGTTTGCTTTTGAGCTCGAAAACGACGACGCTTCAGCTGAATTTTCTCGTGAAGAAGAAAGTTTATGCTTCTGTTGCGTGTGTTTGCTTGGGGGTTGTGGTGGTGGTTAGAGAGGATATTAGGGCGTCAGCGCAGGGTAAAACGGTAAGAAACAAGGTTGAGTGAAGCTGAGAGCAGAAACAGAGCAGGTGAGGTGTGAGGTGTGAGGAGCGTGAGCGTGGAGTGGAGAGAGCAGAGGGGCGCAAAGTGACGACAAAACGACCGTTTTCTGCGGATTTAAAACGGATTGCCGGAATGGGTAAGGCACCGGTAACACCCGGTAAATAGTGCTTGCGTGTCGGTGACAGACATTGAACCGTTTTGGTTTTGAAATCGATGGTATGGGCAAAGTTTTCCCGAAATGCCCAAATTGCCCATATGCAGTTCCCTGAATTGCATTGGCTGTGAGTTGCTTCAAAACTAGAACATGGTACCAAATAACTTTCTAATATTCTACATTTACAATTTTTGAAAGAGATATTTGATTTTTTTTTCTCCTTAATTCAATAAAAAAGCAATATCATGTACAGAAAATATGCTTAATGAATCATAGTTAGTGTAACAATTTTGTTGAAATTGTATTTAAGTTTGTCATAAAAAATAAAATTAAAAGGACAAGAACAAGAACAAGAAATGGGGCCACGAGAATGAGAAGTGAACCAAAATTACTTGATTAAGGTAAAATAATTCCTTTGTTGTTGGTTACATGCAAATTTGAATTTAATTAATTTTCCTGACCATTCATAAGTTTGAATTCTCTTTAAATTATATTAATTTAAAGTAGTTTAAATTACTGTTTGTTTCAAAGCATAATTAATGAAGCTGCCTTTATTTTTTATAAACAATCTATCAAATTCATTAGTCTATATATATATGGGGGTCCATCATGTTATGAGTTGATTGAAAGGGTATTTCAGGTACTCAAAGTGAAGCACCACCAGAAACCATAGAAGGCGGAAGTGGCGGTTGGAGGAACTTAGGCTATGAGTCGCAGTCAGTTGGTAACGTTGGGGGATGATGTAAATTGCGAAATGGGTTACGTGGTTATGTGTTACGTGTTTGTTGCAACTTGCATTGCATATAACTTATAAGATACGATGAGAATGAAAGATGATATATATGGGGGCTTCTCCAATGCGAACTCTAAGATGCGAACTCGTTGCGAACTTTGTTTTTAAACCGTTGGAAGAAGAGCGAAAAGAAAGAAAATAAAGCCACACAAGCCATCCAACGGTTAAAAACAAAAGTTCGCCACGAGTTCGCATCTTAGAGTTCGCATTGGAGAAGGCCTATATATATATATCTATATATATATAAGCTTGGTCTTTGGACTCTTGGTGGGAAGTTAGCTTCTTTACCGTTGAGTAAAAGAATCCAAAGTTGAACAAAAAGAGAAGAAACACAATAGTGGGTATACAACGGCTATTTACGTATCGGAATCGGTATGCTAAACATTGATTGGGCTGGGCCTAGCAGAGGAGAGGAGAGGAGGCGTGATCAGCTTCCTATTGCTATTTCTAGTGGGGACGTTATCTAATAACATCATTAGATGAGACCATACTTTTTAACCGTTTGATTAAATTAATTAGCTATTGAATTAAATTAGTTAATTTGATCAAATAATTAGGAGATATAGCCTGTATTGCTATTGCTCATTTAACTAAACACAGTAAAAGCGAATCTCACTGTGGTCAGCGACTGCCGTCGTGTTTGACTGACAGCCTTAAATCTATGTATTTGCTTTGCTTAAGTTAAGAGTTTTTCTGCCCCAAAACAATTATATATAAATTTTTTTTAAAAAAAAAAAAAAAGAGTCGAGAGTTTGTTAAAAAAATCCATCAGTTGAATATATGATATGGAGTGGATAATTATTAGGTAAGAAAATGTAACACGCAACACAGCGTAATTAATTAATTAGTTAATAAATTTGAATAAAAATTTGTGTTGCCAAGTGAGAAGAGGCAAAGGCTGCTGTCGCGCTTGTGTGGTATGATTGGGAAATAATATCATCAGCTTAAGGTCAACAAGGACAATTCCACCGTATTAAGATTTCCGCCCTTTTTTATGGGAAAAAAACAAAAAAGAGGTCACCTTCATAAAGCATCAAATAATGCAAATATTGATTTAGACTTTAGTCAACAATTATTTGTTGGGGAATTAGTACTGAAGGAGTGCGACGAGAGATGAAATCAATAGTCCTAGTGATAAATAGCTGAATATTCCTGTCATAACAATTAATAATATGTAATGTAACAAACAGGGGCTTATTGTCTAATTTAAGCCCATGTACCATTAAAGCAACAAAGAAAGAAACAAAAAGAGACGCACTTACATCTTCTTTCATTTCTTCTCTTCTCTATATATACGTACATCACGAGACCAGTCACTAATAGAATTCCAGGCGCCTCGTCCTCCACCATGTCAGCTTCCTCAACGTCACCACCGAATCCTCCGCTGCCCAAACTGACCTCCTCCGCCCCCCACAATATGAGAGTATTTGTCGCACATTAAAAAATTAAGAAATCTAACCTGAGTTTATAAGGAGTTGGGCTACTCCCTCCATTGCCAATTAATTTCGAGATGGAACCTCAACTTCCATTAATCCCGCTACACTTGATCGATTTATTTGAATTCTTGTTTGTGGCTTTTTTAGCTAGCTAGGGGGTCTACAATCCTATGGCAGATTGTTCAAGACTTTTCAACTTTTTCTAACTAAAGAATAAGTGAGATATAAAAATAAAATACAAGAGTGGGAGAGGGGAAAGTGAGCGTGTAAAAATGGAAACAAGACAAAATATTAAAACTGTTAAAAATTGATTGACAAAAAGTGTCGTCCTAAATATTATTAGTATGCATTTGGGTGTCGACATGAGATATATGGCAAGTCACACGGTCCTGCATCACATATGCAAATAGGCAGGTAAGGCGCACACCATCAAATTATTCTATTGCTAGCATACACATTTCACCTCTGTGTCTTGTGAATGTGATCCCTTTTAGGGCTAGTTTGGCATTGCTGGGCTTTTAAAAAAAACTGCTTCTGCTGTGCTGCGAAAATAATCAGCTGTGAAAAAAAGCAGCTAGGTATTTGGTAAACNAAAAACTGCTGTGAGTAGTCAAAGTGTTTGGTAAATTTTTATCAGAAGCGCTTTTAGTGTGTATAATGACTGAAAAAGGCATGATGATAAATCTGTTTGTTTTTTCCTTTATTCTTTTTATATTTTTTTTAAAGAAACCCAACTTCACTACATAATTTTTTTTCGTTTTTTAATTTACACTTTTTTTTATCAAAAAATTTAATCTAAAAAATATTGTTATATATATATAGGATCCGCACGATAATAATGTCCGGATGTCCGCATAAGAGAATAACTGTATATATATATATATACTGTTATATGAATAAAATATAAAAATATATATACAAAATTAAAATTAAAAACAAACAAACCCATCACCGTACCCACCCTATCTCTCTTTCTCTCTCTCTCTCTCTCTCCTCTTCTCTTCTCTTCTCCATCGCCTCAAAACACCGATTAAAAAACAACCCAGATCAAGAATTTTAGAACCCAAAACTCAATCCAAACCCAGATCAAGAGAGGTTTGAGTTCATGGTCCTTTGCTCTATGTATGTGAGTGGGATTGTAAGATTGGATTTTATTTTGGTGAGAGTCTGCCGCTTGCGAATTTCCTCATCTGGGTCTCTGTTTTTATACGCAAAGCAGTGAGATTTTATACTTGTGAAGATATCACAGATGTGATATGATGCAAAGGGCAAGTAATTTTCTGGGCACAATCTTCAACAGAAGCCCACAACTTGGTTGTTTGGTGTTAGGTGTTTACTTGTCCACGCTTTGACTTCGCTTGAGTATGAATTCTTCCTTGATTGAGACTGGAATTTTGAGATAGGGGAGGAAGAAGAAGAAAAGTGAGAAGAGCAGAGAGTGAAGGTCTCAGAGAGAGTGAAGGTCGCGAGATCTATTTTGTGAGAGGGACAAACGTTGTCCTTTCGTAAAATGTTTAGGGGCATTATAGGAATAATGAAACTTTCATTAATAAAAAAACCGGCTCTTTTTTAAAGCAGCTTTTGAAAGCTGGGTATTGGCGACTTTGAGTTTTTGCTTTTTATGATGGGTGTTTTTAAAATAAGCGTGTTTTTTTGGGTTTACCAAACACCCAACTCATGCCAAATTTTTATTAAAGCCACTTTTTTTAAAATTTAAGCGGGGCCAAACGCTACCTTGAGCTCATGCATCAAGACCTGTTTTTGTCGTAAAGATAATGGGTGGAGCCCACATGTTGGATTAATAATATTGGGCATGAACATGCGCAGCATGAGACGAGTATATCCCAGATCTGGAGAGGGACATTGTGTTTTTTTATGTATAGTTGTTGATGAGGTTTTGTTTTGCTATAATATAACTCCGAGGTACTTTCTTGAAGAATCTAACAAAAACAAAAACAAAACCAAACCAACAGGCTCTTGGTCTTTTTTGTGCAAAATGAACAAAGGTTGTAATGTAAGTAAGGAATTTGCTAGCGTAGTACAAGGAGACAAATGCTTTATACTTGTAAGGCAACGTAAGTTACGGGACGACGAACATGTATTTTATTATTATTTCTTAAACATGTTCTCTCTCCGTGTGTGTTGCTGATTCATTGACCTTCTCGATGAAGGATGTAGTATTCTATTTAATTGGATGATTTACAGCTGAGTATGCACATGAATACAATAAGATAATGTTATCAGCTCAAAAGAGTAGACAATGGTGAGTTGGAGTTAGAAACATCATGTGGAGAAAGCTTTTGCTCCTCACTCGATTCATAAACCAACTTCTTTGCTTTGCCTTTTCTAATTCACATTAAAAACTCTAGAGCTGCGATTTTACAAACATGGTGGCCAGAGAGACGACCCAGAAGAAGCCCCATGTAGCTGTCCTAGCAAGCCCAGGCATGGGACACGTCACCCCTCTCCTTGAGCTAGCCAAACGACTCGTCGTTGACCACGGCTTCCAGGTCACCTTTCTTGCCATCTCCACCGACGCACCACCCGCCCAGATTCAGCTCCTCAACAGTTCCACCCTCCCTCCCGACCTCCACGTCATCCACCTCCCTCATGTTGACGTGTCAAATCTACTCACCGCCTCCACGGGCGTCTCCGTTCGCATCATTCTCGTCGTCCGGCAGACCCTCAGCTATCTACCCTCAGTCATAACCAATATGCAACCGCCCATCCAATCTCTCATCGTCGATCCATTTTGCGGGCAAGCCCTCGAATTCGCCGCCGCCTTCTCCATCCCCACGTACCTTTTCTTGACCACTTCCGCTTCGTTTACGGCGTTGACCATGTACTTCCCCACGCTTCATGCACAGGTTGACGGCGATTATTCTAGGATCGCCGAGAAGGTTCTTGTCCCCGGTTGCAACCCCTTGTTGCTTGACGATCTTGTCCCTGGGGTTTTGATGCCAGAAGTCCTGCCTCTATGCAACCGGATTCCGTTGGTCAAGGGCGTTTTCATAAATACATGGGAAGAACTTGAGCCGGTCACCCTTGGCGCTGTTAGGAAGAATCCTTTCTTTCTTGGTCTACCAGCCCCGCCGGTTTATCCCATCGGACCCTTGACCAAGGGCAATGAAGACGAACCGCTGACGTCAACAAAGGAATCGCAGAAGATGCTGACGTGGCTGGACAAGCAGCCACCCGATTCGGTTGTATACGTGTCGTTTGGGAGCGGAGGGACGCTGTCTGGTGAACAGATGAGCGAGTTGGCTTGGGGACTGGAACTGAGCCAAACACGGTTCGTTTGGGTGGCGCGACCCCCGAGTGAAGTCAGTGCGTCGGGGAGCTTTTTCAAAGCCGGTTATGATGCGGAGGGTGCGGCGTCGTATTTGCCAGATGGGTTTCTGGACAGGACGAGGGAGCGGGGGCTGGTGATATCCTCATGGGCCCCGCAAGTGGCGGTGCTGAGTCATGGGTCCGTTGCTGGGTTTGTGACACACTGCGGGTGGAATTCTGTGTTGGAGAGCATAGCTCAAGGGGTAGGGATGATTGCGTGGCCTCTGTACGCTGAGCAGAGCATGAACGCGAGGATGCTGGTGGATATGGGAGTGGCTGTGTGGCCGAAGCCGGCTGGGGAGAGAGCGGTGGTGGGGCGAGGTGAGGTTGAGAGGGTGGTGAGGTCTGTTATGGAAAGTGAACAAGGAAAGGCGATGAGGCAGAAGGTGATAGAGCTTCAAGGTACTGCACTCAAAGCTTTGGGTTTAGGCGGGTCGTCTAATGCATCGCTGGCAGGCCTGGCGGACGAATGGAGGGCGGGAGGCTCACCTTGATTTGTTATATATGTAACGGATACCAAATAAATGCACCACCTCTAAATATAAGGACTCGAGTCCGTATGTAACATAGCAAATCGCAAATCCTAAAATTACAAGTCGTCATGCAAGCGTGTGTTGTGCCCAAATTCTAAAGGTTGTCATTAGCAATAAACTGATGACACCATTACGAATTTTCTATTTTACATCTACTTGAAAATATTGCAAACTTTTTCTTGGTTGAATAAAATATTGTAAATCCGTTCGTTGATTGAGATTTCAACGGAGTTCGTCAATCTCTGATCTGATCAATCTAATATGATGTCAAGCTTTGTTTTGTTTCGAGGGAGTTGGTCAATCTCTGATCAAATTACACTTAGACCACTTGCCACAAAGTCCAATCGGGCTCAAGTTGGGCTAAGTGTAATTTGTGCAAGTTGAAATCAATTGGATTCGTAACTAACTAATGCGATCTCTTAGTTAGCCCAATTACCCGGCACAAAAGCCCATTAAAGAATCTTGGACAACTGGTGGCACGCGACCCAATAAAAGAAGGGGAACGGTTTTCGCGCCGTAGGGCTTCAAAAACGTGAAATTTATTATTTTAGGAGCCATAACGGTGTCGTTTGGTTGTAGGTGATACATTTTCTCCTGACGAACAATTGACCAAGCAAGAGTTTGGTTCTCTCTCGCTCGCTCTCTGCAACTCACATGGATTCCAAAGCTTCAACAACTGCCACTCCTCTACTGAACCAGGAAAAACCTAATAATCTTCCATCAAATCCCAAGAAGGAAAGAGACTTCCTGAACCACGTCGAAGCGTACCTCGCAAAGAGAGATGGCGTGGACAAGCTCCTCAAGATATCCAGGTACGCCACCAAGATCATTCTCGCCTCATCTGCTCTCCCCGAAACCCTAACCCTAACTCACCGCCTCAAGAGCTTCGAGTCGAGCGTAGGGGTGAGCCGCAAAGCCTTTAGGCTCGGCAAGTTCGTCCAGGACGTGAACGCTCTGAGAAACTCGAATTTCGATTTGAATGAAGACCTCGTCCTCTCCCTTATCGCCTACGGAGGCGAGGGCTTGTATTTCTTCGTCGAGCAATTCATTTGGTTGGCCAAATCTGGTTTGATCGATAGCAAACACTCGCGCAGTTTGCAAAAAATCAGCGCTTGGGCCGAGTTCATTGGGTACGTCGGTAGCATTTCGTTGAAATTTAGGGATTTGAATCGAATTTCCGAAGATGAAAAGTGCCTGAAATCGAGCATTGAGATCGCAATTACGAGGGGAAATAAGTGCCAGGAAGAAAAGGAGAGATTGAGTAAATTGTGTGAAAAGAAATTGATGAAGAGGCTTTCTGTTGTTCAAGATGCGGCCGACGCGTTAATGGCATTAGCTGATATTCGTGATGGCGATGGGCCGTTTTTGGGGCCGCTTTCGTTATCATTAGCCGGGATGCTATCGGCGATAATTAGCACTCACAAGAATTGGGTGTCTTGCTGAGTTTCATGTCCTTGTTACAAGGTATGGTTGCTGGAAACTTGTTCCTTAATTTACTTATTGAATGATCAGTTTAGAGCTTGAAACTGCAAATTGTAAGGAAGAGGTCCTTGTTTTTCTGGTTGTTACATTTCTCATGAATAAAACTACATACAGGCTGTAAAAGGCAGTGGTTCAATAAGGATTTCTTCTTTTATGTTTTAAATGTTTCTTTGTAGGAATTGGGAATTGGGATGTATGTAATTTCTAGCTGATTAAAACTCAGACCAATCGATCAAGAGTTGGTACATGAACTTATTATTAGTATGTCAATTTTGTAGATAATTGAGACTGAAAGGAACTTCTTTGGACAAAAAACTTCTTTGGATAGATTTCAAAAGGTCCAAGTTTGGGATTTAAAACCAATAATGGACTATGAAGCTTGTGATTTTCATGTTTAGTTGTGTTATGCATCTTCGTTGGTACTTGGCATATTGACTAGTTGGGGGGGGAACAATATTTCCTTTCTACATTTGTGGAAGAATATGAGGATAAAGTGCAATTGAAACTCCTCTTGTTCCTTCCTACCCTGTTTATCTGAAATCTATAATCTCTTACCATTCAGTTGCCACAGTTCCTTCCTATTATTCACCAATTACAGTGCTCATATAGGGTAGGTTTTGTTCTTTCTGGACTTGACTTTGCTTTGACATATGATTTAATGCAGTGTTGTGTTATCATTAATTTTCAAGAACATGAACAAACACAGTGCTTAAAGAAATTTCAAAATTGGTTTAACTAATCAGTTAAACTAACGGAGTGGTGACAAGTGCAGTCTTCTCTCTCAATCATCAATCGATGGGTTTGTGTGATGAAAAAGAGTATAAATAACGATTACTTTATTGGCAAGTGCCGGTTAGTCTGAGAAAATATTTTCCTGTCTATCTTTAAATTTGCTGTTTCATTTTGTATGTCAGCCGTCTTATACCAGAAACTCTAGGGACTTTTAAGTTGCCAGCCGACTTAATGTTGGCATCCACAGTCAATGGTGCTGGTGTTATTCGGCATCAACTTAATACTTTCGTATTCATGTTGTTAACTAGTGCACAAATTTGAAGTACGGGTGGGTGTGCTACAAGAACAAGAGCAGAAGCAACTCACTTGTATTGTTTTGGTAATAGCAGAGTGGAGGCATAAACTCTGCATATTATCATCAACAAAGGCAGCAAGCAACTCACTTGTTCTTCTAACTGAACTGGGACACGGATGATGAAGAGGCAAAAGCTGATTTTGATCCTTTGGTGACTGTTTGTTTATTTGGATTATTATGAATATATCTAGAATGCCGCATTTTACTATGGCTCTTTACAAATCTTTCTCTCGTTTGACCCTCCCGATTCACTTGAAACCGAACGCCTCATGCTTCTCCTTGTAGAATTCTACTAGATATCACATACCAGAAATAAAATAAATCCCTTTTTCATTTAGTGTTGCATAAATAAATAAAAAACGCAAACTCTAAACCTAAAATTCAACGAAACATTCAAGAAAATCAGGGATGATTGTAGCCATGGAGATTCTGATCTCCGGCCGCCGAAAACATATGTTCATCTTTAATGGCAACAACAACACAAATGCCACAAGTACAACTGTATAACATATAAGACACCTCTTCTCTTTATTTTTATTTTTTTTTCTGGGATCAATCAAGACATCTCTCTAATACAGATGATTTTGGTTTTTGACTTTGTCGTTTGATTCAACCCAACCCAAACTTAATAGTTCACCTTTGGTCCAGGCCCAACCTTTGAATTGACCCATCAGCAACGTTTACTTTATAGTTGACCATGACCAACCCAATATGTCAGGCCTCCTCAACCTGACCCATTGACGACCAAGCATTTTAATAGAAATAAATATATATTTTTTGCCTAAATACATATAAAAATACTTTTTTGTTTTTACAGTTGGGATGGGAATCGGACAATGAAACTGGGACCCGCAATCTCCAGTTCGCGGGCATCAGCGGCTTACATGGTACGCTACAAATCGCCACCATTTCGTTCCTGTTCGTATTCTAATTTTCGTTCGTATTCTCGTTCTCGTATATGGACTCCTCATCTTGTCCCTGGTGGTAATTTTATTTTAGCTTATTTTAAAGGCCTATAATTAAATTTTTAATACGAGTTTTGACGTGCAGCAAGCAACCTGCAAGCCAGCCCCGGTCCCCGGCACAACACAACACAACCTTGACCTTCTTCACGAGATCATAAAAGAGAGAGACAGAGAGACAGAGACACTCCTCTTTCCAGATCTAAACACTCGTAAACGTCATCGTTTCGATGGCCCTTCACTAGAAACCTCCGAGACTCCCCAGTTACTTTCCAATGGAGTCCGAACTCAAAGACCTCAATTCCAAACCGGCAAAGCCCGTCGCCGACGAGGGCTCCGGCAAGCCGGCCCACGAAGATGCCTCAGGCAAGGATGACCGCCCGCTCCTTAAACCTGACCCGGCCCCACAAGTCTCCAACGAGGAGCTCCAGGAGCTGGAGAAGAAATGCGCGGCGTACGTACGGCGCGATGCGTACGGCACCATGGGACGCGGCGAGTTGACGGTGAAGGAGAAGGTGTTGCTGGGGCTTGCCCTGGTGACTCTGGTCCCGATTCGCGTGGTGCTGGCCATGACCATCTTGGTAATCTATTACTTGATTTGTAGGATTTGTACGCTCTTCTCCGTCCCGAATCGCGACGAGGAGCAGGAGGATTACGCGCACATGGGCGGTTGGAGGAGGGCCGTGATTGTCCAGTGCGGCCGCTCCTTATCCAGACTTATGCTCTTCATCCTCGGCTTCTATTGGATCAACGAGACCTATCGGATACCGTCAGATGCTCAACCCAAGCCCACCGCCGATGTACTCTCTCTCTTCCACACCACACACACAAATAAAATTTATTTGTGAAATTTGAGTAGTGATTTTTATTTTTATTTTTAAATTTATAAATTTTTTGTTGTTGATTGGATTAGTGCAAAGATGAGAGCGGAGAAGAAGGGACTGAAAGGCCTGGGGCTATTATATCCAATCACGTTTCGTATTTGGATGTCCTGTATCACATGTCTTCTTCCTTTCCGAGCTTCGTTGCTAAGGTCTGTTGCTTTCTTCAAATTTTTATTCTTTAAAAAATAATAATAATAAAAATTATCACTCCGCTATCAAAATTTTCAGACAGAATCCACTCTTATCTATTTACTTATGTATCTATGTAATCATTCTGATCTAGTCACTGACGCATTTCTGTTTGGGTCTGGATTTTATTGGTGCAGAGATCGGTGGCTAAACTTCCTCTAGTTGGCCTCATCAGGTTCGTTAAATTCGTTTTGGCTTCCTTCAATTTCATTATAAGAGCACCATTTTGTCTTTGTGAATACCTCTAATTTCTCTTTTTCTAGTATAGTATTAGTATACCATAAATTTTACGGGAGGGAATGCAATTTAGTTTCGGATCCTTATTTTTTACAGCAAGTGCCTCGGTTGTGTCTATGTTCAGCGGGAGTCAAAGTCATCTGACTTCAAGGGTGTTGCAGGTACTTAAATTGTGGATATTTCCATGCTCTTTGTAATATTTGTTCTCAAAATTTGTGGAACATTGCGGATGCTCTTATTCTTTTTGGGAGGTTCCTTGTACTTGATAACTGTAGTGACCTGGACACAAGCATGCCAGACATATTGAAGTCATGAAATTCTTGCTGAAACAAATCTTTTGCTTTCTGATGTTATATTACTTATGTGATGATGTTGTTTGATTAATGTTTGTGTATCATTTGCAGGCCTTGTGACTGAAAGAGTTAAAGAGGCACATCAGAATAATTCTGCCCCACCAATGATGCTTTTCCCAGGTTATAATTTTAAAAATCCATTGCCATTCTATTTTTCCCGTTTTGCATGACTGATTATTTGGCGGATTGGGGGCGACTTTGCAAGATTATGTTATAATCAAACCATGACAGTAGAAGAGATTTCCTAATATAATGAGTTTTGAGTTGTTCTTATTCTTGGATGTCTGAATCATCATTTACCAAGCTATGAATTATCATGTAACTATACTGGGAGCATCTCTGTTGTCTGTGTGCTACTATGCTGTTAACTGTTTATCTTTAATCTTTTCTACAGAGGGCACTACTACAAATGGAGACTTTCTTCTGCCATTCAAGACAGGAGCATTTCTAGCAAAAGCTCCAGTGCTTCCAGTTATTCTTAGGTATCCTTACGAGAGATTTAGTCCTGCATGGGACTCAATATCTGGGGTGAGTGTTTCTTAAGCATTTTCCATGATTACCTATAAAGAAAATACATATATCATGCACAATAATTTATACATAATACAAATAATAGGAAATTTGGGTTTGGGAAAGTTACTGAATGTGTCTCTCAATGCCCTCCTACTGAACCACTGTCTTGGCTCTAGTTCAGTAAAATCTTGGGAGAGCTGGTGGTTTGTTTATTTTTATTTTGAGTTGTTACTTATAACAGAACTGGCTAGGCACTGGAGCTTGCAGTCAGTGCTGCTGATAGACTCTCAGGCTTGAATACTCTGTTTTACTTGGGCCGCTCAAATCCAGCCAAATGAATTATACAGAGTGTTTACTTTTTAGTTCCCAGTCAAATGCATTATATATACTTCCTATCACAGTCTTCTGGATTTACTTTGTTTTCAGGTGCGCCATGTGATATTTCTTTTCTGTCAATTTGTGAATCACATAGAGGTCACAAGGTTGCCTGTTTATTACCCCTCACAGCAAGAAAAGGATGACCCAAAACTCTACGCGAATAATGTCAGAAGGTTGATGGCCAGTGAGGTATATGTTCCCCTTGAAAGTATATTATGAAAATAAGATTACATCTTCCTTTTCTCGCTTGAGATTGTGATGATCAACTAGGCAGATATTAATCATGGGAGCTTATGGTGTTTGTAACTCGATTCCATCTGTGTTTCTGTTTTGTTTACAGGGTAAAATGACTCAATCGGATATTGGACTTGCTGAGAAGCGGGTATATCATGCTGCTCTTAATGGTAATAATAGCCGTCCTAGTGTTTTGCATCAGAAAGACGATTGATAAATTTCATCGCCTCGCTCCCAAATGATATCTAGTGGCAGTTGAGTTTCATAGTTTTCGTTGGTATTCGATCATGATTGCACAGCCACAGTGAGGGGTTGGTAATCATCATTATTAACTTGTAATGATGTGCGATTACTGAGCTAAGCCCATGGTGTGCCATTATTGACTTGTAATTCCAAGCTGATGGAAACGGGGTTTTAATGTGCTGGTGGATCTCTAACGCTAAAAGCATCCAATAATCTGAGAGAGTATAGTGTGTGGTATTTGTATATTCAACATGTTTAATGCATTGCAACCCCTTTAGACGAAACTTTGCACCTGTAAATCTGAAGCATCTCTTTCATGTTCCTGCAGGTTTGTTTTCTCAATGCTAATTCGGATCGCCATCTGTATATTCGTTGTATGATTCTATTTGTTATAGGGAAAAATTAAAATGGATATGGAATGCAGAAGAGTAATTTTTGTTTGGTCAGATGAGATGATTTTGTATTTATAAGATGGGTAGCTGTGGATTGATGGTGGCATGGCATTCTTAAAGCAGGCATTTTCTCGTTTCTGACTCTTGTATGTTCTTCTATCAGTTAATGGAGGGAATGGGATAGGGGAAGTTGCTTTATGCCGGTAATTGCCGAGCTGGTCTATATTGTATTGCATTGTTCATATCCATTAACAGTACAACAGTTTAGGTTGTGGTTGTTTTTTTGATCTATCTCAATCTCTTCCTTTCTACTGCTTCGTGTACATTTTATCAAACGTGAATCCCATTCCCGCCTCCTAAGCCTTACTTGAGATGGGAATCAAAGTTTCTGCACGTTGATGCATTCATTTGCCAAGACAATGATGTTACAAGCTACGCTAACAGCACAATTTACACTTGGCGGAGTTTTGTCACGTCTAACCTATGGAAGAAAAGGAAATACAGGCATTTAAAAAAAAAAAAACTGGAGAAAAAGAGAACTGATTAGCAATTTCTTCATGAATAACTAGAGTTACAACGATCACAAACATCAGTCCACAAACCTGGGAGAACAAAAACAATCTGAGTGATGGCAGCTTTCAATTGCCGACGCACAAAAACTTAGCAACAAATTCCCCTCATTAAAGGTTATGGACGCCACGCCAGTCATCATACTATAGAACAGTTTCTCTCACCTTTCCTTCAAGGAACCATTGTTCGACCTTCTCAATTCCCATGGCGGTAAGCAGCCTTTTAGGGGTGACTGTAGAAATAACGATGATGATGACAATTGCTTCTGCCGCATTGAAATAGAAGACAGACAACTGAACGTACTTCTCAAACTCCTCTTCTCGCTGTCGTATGGCTGGCAGTTTGGGTCGTGTTGCACAGCAGAAATCTTTAGGGCTTCAGGAAGTACGCAGTTGCATATTGAACCTACCACATATTAATAATCACATGGAATAAAGTTAATTTCACTTTTGATATTCCACACACTCCTCCAAAATATACAAAGAGGACCAGATGAAACACAATTTGTAAGCATTCACTCAAAGAAAGATCTTAGCAAACGACAATCAGAATTCCATACACTGATTTATAAATCTATGGTAAAATCAATCGATACAATTAGCAACCAACAACTATTGAAGTAAAGAACTGGGTTAATTAGTAATTCATCCGGAACATGTTTTAAGGTTGCTAAAATTTTCACTCTGAAATTTTCTGGCTGACATGGCAGGCAGGCTTATACGCAGCTTTAAAAGCAAGGTAATGGAAAGTATCTGTCACTGAACTTATGAGGAGGTAGAAAACAAATAGGGGATTAAATAACTAACAATGATTCAAGTATAGTCAATGAGTGCTTAAACCCAAAATGGATAAGAACAATTCTTGATGGAAATTTTTGTGTGTAAACAATTCACCAAATCAAATTTCATATAACTCTGAAAAGAGTGGGTGATGAAAGAATACCTATTTTTGCTAGTCGATTTACCCATTTGGGAATCGATTTTCCAGTTAACTTGTGACAGATATCCCTGCAGAAATGGTTGCAGTTCTTGACAATCAGGTGATATGTATCACCATTGTAGCTCAAAGACTGGCGCTCCATAAACTCCCTAACCTGAGTAGGGTCCAAGGATGTGGTCCCAATAAATATAGACTTCCTGAACTTGAATCCTGGGCATTGGCGAGGTTCAACCTCAAAAACACCACTGGTAGGGTAGTCGTGTGCTCCAAATGCATATTCTACACCATGAACTGCACAATGCAAGTGAACTATTAGAAACTCAGAAATTACATTGAATTGAAGCAGCATAAAAAGAAGAATAACAATAGTAATTTGGTACTTTATTCCTTTGGAATTTCAGAAGCACCAAACCTATATAGCATTCAGTAAAACAAGAAGAAACATAAGACTTGAAACCCCCACAAACCCAGGGACAAACAGAGGTATGGCTCGTATTGAACACAATGTACATTAGGCAGGTAATATAAACCGAACATAAGCTTACCTTCAACACCAGAGTGAAAAATTCCAAGGCCTGCCCAATAGACGTAGCCATTCATGGGTGTCAAATCATATACATTGAGATAAACTGGTGCTTTTCTCGGATCAGAGCGATCTGACTTTGATTTGGGAAATAAACAAAAACGGCCAGCTGATTTGTTTTTCAATTGATGTGGGGCAATGGCTCTCCATCTTTTCTTCAATTCAAATTTCATGTTTCTTTGATAGTATAGCCAGAATTCAGTCAATGCTTCCAGCCTGTGCATATGGGTGAACATAAAGGCATTAGTTATGTTTCAAAGAACTCCAACTAAATCCGGAGGATGATTAAGGAAACGGCAAGAAAGAAAGAAAGAAGAAGAGATTTTAACAGAGCCTATTATTCTCCATATACAGACTTGTTAACATGTCAGAAACCATCACAGCACCGCACAGGTTGACTTTAGTTCTAATTTCTTTTGAAAATTAGTTAGTTAGTTTTAATACATATGAGGTTGGCAGAGAGAGAGGGTGGCTTTTTAGTCAACTCAAAAATCTTAAGAATGAGTAATCCAACTAATTACAGTTGGCAAACAAGAACATCTGAAATTGAAATCACCCAAATGCATCAAATACGTAGTGTTGATGACCCTAAATTAGTATTACAACCCAAGGATGAAATGTAGTATTAACACCAAAAGCTCAACACAAATTTGGCTCATTTGCATGCAACAGAAATCAAACTCAACAGAGTTTTCTGAACAACCTTCCAGTCATTGCAGATTATCAATATCATACAATTCGTTGTAATTTATTTTTTTAAAAGAAGGAAAGAAAGAAAGTTTCCTGCTGTCTAACTAAACTATTATCGAGAAAGAGAAAATTTAATCCAATAAATATAACCCTAAACGTGAATTTTAAGTACTGCTTTGACCAGAGTTGCAGCATTATCTTCAAGTCAACAGAAGAAAATGAACAATTTAGATGGATAATCAAGATAACAGGCTCTCCAGTGCAGATCTCACCGTATACAGAGATCTACATCAGATCTAGTTTGACGAGTGATGAAGCAGAGAAATACGTAACGAAAAAAAACAAATAAATGAGCCTGCTTTTTTCATTACAACTTAACAGGCAGCCAAGAACAAACATTGTAGCCACTAATCTTACGCTAAAACAAATACAAAAACAAAGGAAAAAAAAAAAAAACAGAGTTATTCATCCAGAAAAAGAAAATGGCAGACTTTTGGTTTCTGGGAAAAACTAAAGAAGGAAAAAACATGGAATTTAACAGTCTTTTCGAAACTCAGTCCATTAAAAAATTCCCACTTAATTGTTCGTTTTCCCGAGATTTCTCAGCTACCAAACAGGAGGACCCAAAAGATAATCAGCACCCAGCAGATAGAGGAAGTAATAAAGCGAAAGTAATTTAAAGAAAAAACGAAAGAAATATTCTAAGAAAGCATGGAGAATCGGGGGACTCACAGATTCAGAGAAGGCAGTAGTCATTAGAGAGGAGCCAAACTTGTCTAAACAGTAAAACAGCTGTATTTCAGTTCAGTATTTTCAGAGCCAGAATGCCACCAACCAACTGCTATGAAATGAAAGGCCTTTGTATCCTGCTGCCAGCTCTCTCTCTCTCTCTCTCTCTCTCTCTCTCTGCTATTGTGCTAGTAAGTTGTGCTGTGTTTCTGTTAAATCACAATGTTTTGGAAAATCTGATTCTGATGGCAAGAGGAATATCATCATTAGAGTGTAAGAAAGCAGTCATCTCACCTCTATTATTATTACAGTGGCAAATAGCACTGTCTACTTTTTTTTTGGTGAACAATAGCACTGTCTACTTAATACAAAGTCTACCTATTTTTATTTTTATTTTTCTTCATTTATTTTTACTTTTTTTCAATTTAAGCTCACCAACGCAACAACTAAAACAATAATTAGGGAAAATTGAATTGGTGTTAATGGATATATCTCCGTGACCTGAAGAAGCAGACTCGAGTAAAGTAACTTCCCTTTCTCAACGGATTGGTGCGTCGTCGTTTTCTGTTTGTATTTCTTCTGGAATATGATTGATCAAAAGAAAAAAGAAATTTAAATAAACAACTTAATGATATTATCTTTCTTTTTTTACGTAAACAATTGCTGAGGTGTCACATCCACATGTGCCCATAATTATTGTGGGGGCTTTATAATAGTTTTTTCTGCAGCCAGACGGTGAGACAATTAGTCAATTTGACTTGCGGGTAATAAATTTCAAAGAAAACAGAAGTAGAAAAGAAACAGCAGCACAAGGACAATTTACAGATTTAAACACATGTGAAAACAGGAATTGCCATAAAGTTTATACTTAAACGTGATTAGAAAAATCATAGTGTTCTTTTCAAAAGAAGATGCTTCTTTTTGTGAAAAGACTAATTGTTTTAAGCTAACAATAAGCAGATGATTAATGACTTTAAAACCCAATTCTATAATTCAATAATTGCTCAATAATAATAATAATAATAAACTACATATTTTTGGTATTAAAATTTGAATTATTACCACTAGTATGTCTTTTTATTTATTTATTTTTTTAATTGAAATAAAGTTTAGCGGGAGAGGAGGCTACTCAGGGTATGCTAAGTTCTCTTTGAGAACTTACAGAGGAAGTCTTATCCCCTTTTTTAGTTTTTACAAATTACCCACCAAAAGAGATTGTCGACAACGAGACTCAAACTTAAACATTAATAGCGAAGAGAATGATATTTACCAATTCAAACAATTTTCCTACTAGTATGTCTTTTGATTATAGCAAGGAAGTGAGTATTGATAAATGTGTGGGTGGCAACAGTATTGGCAGATGATCTTTTAAGGCCTCCACGGACATCTTGTTTGTGCTGCCTGTCTTCGTCTACTTTCTAATTTCCTCCTCCCATGAACATTCAACACCACTACCCTGAAAAATATCTATAATAATAATTTAATTAATTAATTAATTAATTAATTAATAGACACTTAGACAGCGATCGCTAAATTATGAGTCAAGTCAAGTGAAATATGTATGTCCCACTTGCATTGTTTGAAGACTCTGAACAATCCTTCTCATTTATAATATGATCAGCTGCAGCAAGCTTGCAAATAATAACGATCCACCACCAGTTTCTTTTCTTCATAGCTTTTTAAGGGGAAAATGAAAATGAAAATCCTAACAAATCCACTTAAGTCAGCTAATATTAAATTGCAAATGTAAGTTATATCAGTTGACAAAGTTAGCATATTTGCCACATTACATCCGAGTTCGAACATCTTATTCGCACATTAGAATTAGAATCATCGTTATTTTCAAAAAATAAAATCTAATAAAAATTTATTACACTTTGATTATGAGTATGTGGGTCCCGCGACAGTCGGCGGCATCAATCAATCGTGTCGATCATCTAAACAATAAGGTGTTAGTATTGTGTATTCACCAGATTGCAGTGTCGTTTTAGCGCGAGACGACAAATGTAGTTAAAAAATGAAACGCTAGAAACGACAAGCGTATTGTATTCATGTGAATAAAGCTGTCGAGTCGAGTCGAGTGGAGTGGTACAGCTGGTAACCCAAATCACTTTTTTAAAATTAGGATGGGACCCAGCCGGTCACAGTGTCCACTGTCTTTCTTTTATAATTTTCCATTTTTGGGCACAGTGCACTGTCGTTTTAATCCAATAGTGGTGTGGTGGTGATAGTTTAGGCAATTTCTTTCTTTCTTCAAATTGTTAATGGGCTATGCATGCGGCCCATCATATATAGCTATACCAAAAATGATATAAACATTTATGGGCACCTCAAATTAACAAGAACTGAACCCGTGTGCTTTTCTGACGGGCGGATTCAACTTCAAATTCTCAAGGTGCGCCGAGTGAATTGAAATGATTCCAGGCTTCCTGTATGCCCAAAAAGACAAAAAATAAATGAGAAACAAAAGAAAAAGTATGAATTGGCAATGCCCCACAAGTGTTTATGATGGGATTTTTAGTAAATTAGGTACCTGCAAGATATCAAAAACTTTGGCTGCAATGTATTTGTGATGTGAAGCAGCACCTTTCTGCTGCAGCTTATCTGGGTGTAAACATAGCAGAGCCCTTTGGTATGCTCTTTTCACAGAGTTTCCTTCAATTACATCAACAAGAGGTACAGTCTTCCACCCGCTCTCAGGCCAAAGAACCTGCCATGCATTAGTTGCTCAGGAATTAGTTGGCATCTACCTTGCCTTAAGATAAATATTTAGTCAGTTCCATTCTTAGAGTGGCAACCAAGTTTTTATGCCTTGAAGCATACTATTATTATGCAATATTAGAGGCTGATCAAAGAAAACAGAAAAATGACAATACGAGAGTTTGACAAATCAATGCTCTCACATATTGCATAGTAGTTAATAATGAGCGTATGTTTCCTTCCTTTCCTCTTGACCACTGTCGTATCTTCGCATCAATCGCCTGCATTTTATGAACTAGTACATTACTGCTAGCAGGATAAAAGACAGAATTGTAGCAGCATGCTGTGTTTGTTTGCTTTGTATTTTACCTGGATTTCTTCATGATTTTCGCCAGCTTGCGGCTGTTTCTTCTCATTTTGAGTCAATTCTTTGACCTGCCAACAATGTAATAGCTCATCAGAAAATCTGGTAGGAACTATGACTTTCACAAAAAGTATAACATTGCTCAAATTCAAATTTTAGTTCCTTAATATTATTGTTAGGCATAGTATGCAGAAACATAATTGGCATGGGAATTCCGAGTTTGTTTACTTCAATCAAAAATACAGAATGGACTGAACGAAACTTCATTCATGGCAAAGGAGTGCACGTTATAAGAATACAAGAAAAGATGAAAACAGTTGTTTTACGGAAGAACCACATACCAGGAAGCACTCATCTGCATCTCCAGTAATAGCCATGGGGTCGTGAGGAACTGATCCTGTCAACACTTAATGAATAAGATGTACGTTGTTTTGTTTGCATAGGCTAGCAATCTGTTCAGGCTTAGCTCAGAAATTTCCCCATAATGACTAACGATTTCTAGTGTTGTTGTCTACCACTTCTTCCTCTACTTAAGTGTTTAGCTAAGCCACATTAATTCTATAGGATTAAGAGAACTAACCAGTACTTGATGCTGAGACGTCCTGCCCAGGAGCATTACTAAGTACATAGCTAGTAGTCTTTGCTTGACAATATTCTTTCTCTAACTGTTTGAGATCTTCATTCATCTGAAAAGAGTAGAAAACAGAATAAGATACTTAGCAAAATGTTGAAGAAAACATATTGTTAGTTTTTGGGTATGTGAACTCAAACCATTCTAACTTTATTACCATGATGGAAGCATTTGGAAATGGGCTTTTCACATTGGACTTTTGCAAGTCCTCGGACATTCTTGCTGCGCTAATACTCACTTCATTCTCTGCTCTGAAAGCTCCTTTCTCCTTCGTTTTAGATCTCTGACTTCCAAGGTCACCATCATATGCGGGTTTGCACAAAACTTCTTGGTTGAACATTTTAACAAAGTCCTTGACCTTACCCTTAACTTTGCTTCTTCCAAGATTATCTCTTGAGTACCTTGGTGAACCTTGGAAACTAGCTTTATCAACATCAACATTCGTCAAGGAACTCCTTTTTCCATTCTGATTGTTTGCAATTTTGTTAGAGCCAACATCTACAGATGATTTTTTGGTGCCTTTGACCACACTTTCCTTTCTACCACCCACTTTAAATATCTCATCATTGCCTGCATAAGAAAATACAAATGTGGTGTCAGAGGCAGTATATCATGAACCCCGTAACAGTAAATACATAATACAACATACCATGTTGAAAATCATCATCAAAAAACAAAGAACTAGTAGGTTTTAGATCAGGCTCGCGAACTTGTTCCAAAAGCACAGGACTTTCTTTTTGTGGGGCTTTGCCAGAAGCTGTTTCAAGTAAAGGACAAGGCTCTATATCTTCACTTCTACGGCATGAGGCCGTATTACCAGAAACATCTTCAATAGTTTTATGAAGTCTGCTGAAGGGTTCTGATTCAGCTACTGGAAGAATTGCTTCCTCAAAAAATTGGCATGGTTCTACTTTGGCAGGACCGCTTTCATCAAGAAGCAAGTCATTTTCTTGTTTGTTTGGTTCCAAGGTGGGAGACCTAGCATCTGCATCCGCATCCGCAAGTGGATGGTCATCGGAGGGAAAATCAATATTAGGCAGAGTGGATTTGGTTGATTGCCTTGCCATACTCTCATTAGCAGCGCATTCATTAGTATTTGAGTGTTCCTCATTGTTAGTCCTTTTCTGCCCTCTTGAACCAGTCCGTCGCCTAAGAGGCATCGCAATTGGCACTCCTTTGCTTGCCCACTTGTATATTGAGAAATGAAATTGAAACGGACTGCTAGATGTTGGACTTTCTTTATTCTTCGAATCCTGCTCCAAATTGCCTCCTGTGTCTGCTTTGTCAGATGTGGCCAAGTCTGAGCACCCCTCACCACTACCAGAAAACTCCCGGGATCGGATATCATTTTTCAAATCCTCAGGACTTTGGATTGATTGGCTTGAAAATCTAGAAAGGGATGTAGTACGACTAGTGGAACCAATTGTTGGCAGGTCCACCCCTTTGGTTAATCTGGCAGGCAGGCTGAGAAATTTAGAGCAATTGAGGTAATCAAAACATCATGTGCAACGCCCAAAAACATAAAAACATCATGTGCAAATCAGAACACAAAACATGGAAGTGTGTTCATAGCCAGAACAGATTTGGTAGAAGAGTGATGTGAAGAAGCCAAGTATACCAAATTACAATGAACAAAAATTGCAGCCACTCAAACATATTGTATTTCTTCTCCCTCAAGATTCTATGGTACCTGAATTGTCTGGGCAGTGAAGAAGCCGCAGAGGGCTCGGCTTTAGGGGGCAGGGGCCGGGCAGGGCTTAAAACCCTGGAACCTGGTGCTAAAGAAAAAGGGTCCCGCTGAAGCCTCCTGGGACTGGAGCTGACCGAGCTATTGCCTCTAAATATGTCATCAAAGAAGTTATCGCTCTGGGTCCTCCTTCTGTTCATAGACTCATCCCCAAACACTGGCTTCTCAGTGGAACCAGACCAAGCTTCATCGTCTTCGTCGTCGTCGTCATCAACAACCCTTTTCAATGCATTGTTATCTGTAACTATGCTGAAGCTGTACCTCGTTTCGTGAATGGATGACCTCCTAGGTGGCCCACCAAACACGTCATGAAAATCAACATCTGAGTTTTTGTTGGAAGTACTGGGCGAAGAAGAAGCAGAGTTCATGAAGGAACTTTGAGGACTGTAGCCCAGAAGAAGGCCCTCTCTTTGTGAAAATCTCTCCATCTTGGTCCCTACCCAGCACCCACTAGCTGTTCACTGAAACAAAGCATGCAACCAGAAGACAATTTGAACGAGAAAATTTGGCGGGCAGCTGTTCTTGAAATCTCTCTGCTGAAGTGAAGAACGGCAATTAATGGGTTCGGCCGTACAAGTTCATTGAAACAGTCGCAGAGGATTTTGTGTCGGAAAATTCAGATGGAGACAGATTGGGCTTTAAGGTTAAGAATGTTTTAGTGGGATTTGAAGCCACACAACACAAGGACAGTGGATATGAGTTTTTTAGGATAAGTGGAAGAGTCCAAAAGACTACAGGGGAAAGTATTGCCTTATTGGGCAATTAGGATTTTAGGATTTTGTTTTGGTATGCACTGGAAAATCTGTTAATTGCTGTGCATCTCATGGTGACCATTATTCAGAATTTTTTTGTGACTCTAACGAACTTGGTTATCCCATTCAAGCAAAGTCAGCAATTGCGACGATTGCCTACAAATGCTGAGAAATCCTGATTACGAAGGGACCAGATCTCTTGGTGATATCTTTTGTGGTGATCAAAAATAGGATAAAAGTTATTGAAAAGGTAAGAAATGATGTGAATTATACGGGCTTCATGCTCAAATGTTGTATTGTGTTGATTAAATTGATTACTCTGAAACGTCATTAGCAAAGTCTCTTCATGAATCATGCAAGTTGATCATGAGCAAATTCACCGTTACGATGATAATTCAACCCAACGAGATTGTATACACAAAATCCACTTTAGAAGAAATTCAATCAAGTAAATATACAGATGACAAAGCTGTCAAATTGTCAATCACCAAAGATGGCAAACCCTTATGTGACATTTCTTGGTATATATGATAAAGAACAAATGTCATCTCAGGAGATACTCTAGTGAAACTCAGAAAGTTACTATCCATACAAAACAAAAATTTGAAAGGAAACTCAGGGGGAAAAAGAAGAAGAAGAAAAAAAGAGACTTTGAATTGGCCTCAGAAGATGCAATCAATTTCGCCTCTACCTGTATCAGTTGAATTACAGAGCGTGTGTACTGTTTAGCCCATCCATGGGTCTGTAGAACTATCACTACCATTGAGAACCCTCGGGGAACGGTTCCAGCGCATCTTGCTTGCCGTTAACATAGAACTCCATAATTGCCTTCATCCTTGGAAGTTTATCTGGGTGGTAATTTACATGAAGGATTACTGGTTTCAATTTTTTCAAATTAGCATCTTTCCTGACTGTCTTGAAGAGGACCTTGCTGTTCATAAAGAGATAGAAATCCATAGTTCTCTTGGAAGCATGAAGCCCATCGTAACCCGGATGTGAAGGGAAAAAGAGTTCCTCATTGAACACTGCTTGGTCCCATGCTTTTTCCTTAGAGAGCCGTCCAGCCACACGATCCAAAAGCTCAATTGAAGGAAGTGTAGGTCTTATGTAAAAGAAACCAGAGTTATACACCCATATCCTCATTGTATGAGCATAGCGAGCCCAACCCATAGAAGGTTCATCAAACACATCATTAAATCCATAAGCTGTCATGTTATTGTGACCATCACTCATGGACTCTACATCAGAATCCCGATAAAGATGATTGAAGGGGTTCTGCAAATATACTATATCAACATCTGAGAGAAGAACACTGTAACCTAGTTGCAGAAACTCCCTCAAGATACGAAATTTCAACCCAGAGACGGCATGGTTACCTCCTGTCTTTGCAATTGAATCAATACCCTCATCTGGATCTCTCTTGTATACAGGAACATCATTAGCTATGCAAAATTCTTCAATCTCGTCGTCTAATCCTACAACTAGATAATTGGTTATACCAACCCTCTTGATGCTAGTAAACCATATCTCCAACATGGCTTTCACATTTGAATTTGCAAGTGCAACTATAAGCTCTTTCTGAACTGCAACGTCCTCCAAGATCTTTGCCAACCTCGGATTCACAGATTCATCGGGAATGACAGTCGGGTTAGTTCTCAAGCCCTTGACGGTACCAAGAGGGCCAGCCTTATGCGGTTTACCTAATACTGAAAACTGCTTATGTGCATGATCCTTTCCTTGTTCAGCTAGCCGTAGCTTTTCAGTTAGATCTTGAACCTGTTTCTTCAGCTCATCATTCTTGTCCGACAGTGATCCAATGTCAGACCTCAGCATATTTATCCGTTCTGTTGATTCACATTGGGATGAGCTAGTCTGCAAATGCAGGTGGGCAAGTAAGGCCCCATAACATAAGCTATACTATATCGAAAGTTAAAGAGATCAGCTTTATAATACTTTCTTTTTAAAACACCAATCATTGAACAAGCCTGTAAATATAATGCAGTTCCTTATTGTTTTACGGACTAGAATTGATCGGTGAATTTAACCCATATGGTCAAAGCGTAAGCTCTATATATAAGTTTCACTCTACATATATAAGTTCAACCGTCAGCTTAATGCCGTTGAAGATTAAAAGGGAATCACAATAAATCTAAGTAAAGAAAAGAAATCCCAGCAAATGCAAACTGGCATAACCAAATCACTCAATGACGCGATTAAGATTGTATAAGCGCCAAATTCAAAGTTAAAGAAATTAAATTAACATTAAAATTAAAGGAGCAAAAGGTCAGTCAATTTGGAACCGAGATCCGAACCTGGAGATCCAATTTCCCGAATCGACGGCTTTGGATAGGCGGATCCGAGCTGATGAATCCGTGAGGAAAGAAGAAGGCGCAGACAGAGCCAAGAAGGACTCCGACGACAATGGCTGTCACTATTCGAGATCCACGAAATGACTGGGTCTTATCCCGCATCAACGACCCGTCTCTACGACCCGCCATGCCCTCCTTCCCTTTCCCTCGAGCCGTACACAGTCGTTCTTGAGAGAGTAAGAGATAGAGAGAGAGATTGAATAACACAGTCGCTGATTAGGGTTCTAGTGCTGCTGCTTGAACTGAAAGTCAGGGAAGCGAAGGTGGAGCTTCTCTCTCTCCTTTTATGAATTATCGAAAATGCAAGCGGAGCTACGAGGAAGGCTTTGTCGTTGCTTACTCTCTCCTCTCTAAGAGAGTCTGACAGAGAGACGAGCTGGATCGAGCGGGCAAGGATACGGTGCTTTGCATACAAGGAACTAAAGGACCATCATTGCTCTCGTTTTTTGGCATATCGGCCAAGATTCGGTGGTTTTTTATGCTGCTGTAGTTTGACTTTGACATCCGACAACCCGGAAAATAAAATAAAAATTCGACAGACGGAAGGGAGTAATGCAGACGGGCCCTGGCCCAGTGGGCCTCACACTTCAGGCCCCGCGCAGTTTTTAAATCTGGTGCGTGAAGTGAAGGTGGTATTTTTCAAATTTTCCAATTACCGTCTAAATGCTTACCATAATACTCTTTTACCTTTCCTCGACCCCAAAAAATAAACAAAACTCTTTTACCTTTCAAACAGTTAACAAATAAATAAAAAAGAAAACGAAGAATATGATAAAGAAAAAGTTCAATATTACGCCAAAATAAAAAAGCGAAAGGAAATGCTTTACCGAAAAAATTTACCGAAAAAAGAAAAAAGCTCAGTGAGTGGGGATTAGTCTGGGTTGTGGTTAAAGCTTAAAGGTGCCACCCATAGTTGGAGCCCATCCAGGACCACCTCATGATTCAGACAAAAAAAAATAAGAAAAAAGCAGAAGGAAACGCAGTAGTAGCAAGGCTTTCTACTTGGTAGGGAATATTCCCTACTTATCTCATCTACATTTTCTGAAAGAAATAAAAAACCGTGTACATGGGAGATAAGACAAGGACAACCAGATATATTTCCAAAAAGAGCCCACCATATATCTCTACATTCATTTGATACCATTCGCACAGATGGGACTCAGAACCAAGAAGAGTGCGTATGGATTTTATCCACACATGAGAGAGAAATGAAACTAAATAAAAAAAATTTACAAAAAAAGAGTGAAACGTAGCATATACAAATGAGGGAGTGTGAGAGAGAGAGAGTCCAATTTTGTGTCATGCATCACTCGAACTGGTTACATATGAAACTACAACAGTTATATCATCGAGCTTGCCACCATAATAACGGAACCCGGCATCTTGAGCAGCAGTCGAGAAAGGTGTCTGCCGGTCTCTATCCTGAGCTCGTTGGCGTGCCAATGCCGCTATCTTTTGCGCTGTCACCTGAGGCCCCAAGCCAGCTCTTATGGCATGAACTACCACTGCAGTAATCTCATTGTTATACAAGTTGTCAAACAGGCCATCAGTTCCGGCAATTATAACATCCCCAGGTGCAACAGGAACTGTAAAAACCTGAATCAAACAAAGGAAACTTAGCTTGTGATATGTACTACAATCATTCCAGGTCTCATTTGACACATTGCTGAAAAATCATGAAATCACATTGTCCGAATTTAGTTGTAACTTGTTTCTACTACAAACTCAAAAAGATCTATTTCAAGATAATAATCAACCATCGTAAAAAAGTTTGAGAAACAAAAACCAGATATCGGACAGCAAGTATTGCAAAGAAATCAAGAATGAAACTCACAAGTGGAAGATATATTACAAACCAAGAATGTGATGAAGAATAATACGTAAGCCATTAGTTAACAGTCCTAAAGAAGATATGTTGCTGACCTGGCCAGAGCTAGGTAGATCACCGTTGCTTCCACTCTCCAGTTGATAGGTAAAGTTAAAATCATGCTGTTGCACAGGGGATCTAAAGACAGTGCACCCATCTCGAACCACTATGAACCCACTGTCACCTAAATTAATTGCATGAATACCCTGCAGTGAAATCGCAAACGGTTAATTTAAGTTTCTAAATAGTCAGTATGATAAGATAGCAATATTTCAAGATTCTTGAATATATAATAAATGAACACAAACTGCTCTTACAAGAAAACAATGAAGAGTTTAGACTTCCGAAGTTAGTTTTACTACATCCGGCTACATAAAGAGTTAATTAGTTCAACATAAGCCATTTTTTAAATGGCCTCAGAAAAAAAGGATATGTGTTCCCTTGACTAGCATGAAGCAAGAGTATCACTTTGACAGACATGGTTAAAATGAAGGGAAGTTCCATACCTGTTCTGTGAGTGCTATGATACATGCTGTTGAGGAACCCTTGGCCTTTGTGCTTGAGTGAGCTTTCTCTAATACCCTAGCAGGGTCAACTGAACCCTTGGGCTCCTCCTGAACAGCAGCTACAGAATTAGACATCAGTTCTCTGGAATACAATCCAGAATTAACGCCAAGATCTGCCCAGCCACCAACACCATCTGCCACCCCTATTGCTTGTTCATTCACACAAATGAAGTGAGCATCCTCCCCGCCAGTTTCCTCTTTATCAGGATGGGGCAGGTAATATGATCCTGAAGTTAGTTTTAGGGACTTTCCATCTGTAATCTTCCTGAAATCATTGTAACATGCTTTAACAAATGCTGAGACTTATTGCACTACTTAAATACAAACTTAAATCCCAGTACAACTACATAAAACCACAAATAAATAGAATCTAAGAAACAAAGATGGAAAAACATTTTCTTGATAAGAGAATGCTACTCACTGATCAGATGAATCTGCAGAACTTGAAAGTTGCTCCTCAGGAGCAGAATTATCAAAAGACACGTCATGGGCAGTCCCAGCAGATAAGCATGTAGACGAACTATGAAATTCTCTTGACCCTGATCCTTTAGTTGGGCAGGAATTAGACGACCATCTCTTTCCAACTTCATATATGAAATATCCATAAATTGCATTAGTGTTGGATAGCCCTCTTTTTTTCAAACTCATGCTAGCTGCTTGAAAACAGTCAGAACCTTTCCTGTTGTTATAAAATGTACATGAACTTTCAGGTACCATTGAAAGAAGCCCACGCCTTGAAGTAAAATTATCTGGGTAGCATCCCCCAACTACAGTTCTAGAACCACAGGCAGCCATAGGTTTATTCTGAAACTTGCTTCTGGTTATAAACTGACAGGGCTCGGAAAGCGCACAATCAATATGATAGCCACAAACCTGAAGTGAAGGCCCTGACACAGATGGGGTTGAAATAATACGCGAAATCTCTCCAACGACAGATATGTTCTTTCTTTGGTTAACTAACTGCGAATCCGACCTCGCAGTGAAAACGGTGCCTGGTGAAAGAAACGCATGGAGATCTGAGATAGTTGAAAATGGTCTGGATTGGAACAACTTAGAATTGCCAAACAACAATTTTCCTTGCCCAATTAGCCCATCTAGTGAGTCCTGAAGCACACCTTCCTGCCCTACAATCGATCTCTGTAATGCAGTCCTAAGCTTTGACAAATGAGAAGATGGCATCTTACCCACTTAAACAAAAGAGCTTAGCTTCAACCCCTCTAGTGCAGAGAACACGAAGGTTACCACTGTGCCCAAAATTAAATCTCATAACTATCTGCACATCTATTCTTAAATCAATTCAATACGTGATCCCCTTCTCCCACCAATATATCACAATAATTCAGAAACCTGAGAAATAAACAAAGATGGTGCACAATTCGTATCTGCACATAGCCACAGACAAACATATATAATCACACACACAAATCAGAAAATTTGAAAAGAAAAAAATACAGTAGCTAGCTAACACGTATCTATCAACATCAAGATATAACAAAATTCCCGGAAAACAGTAAAATAAAAATACAATTAACCAAAAAACCCAGAAGCCATAGTTAAAATAATGGAAAATAGCCGAAAAATTAAAAAAATGGAAATCTCACCAAGCTTATTGATCGGAATCGAAACTCCAGCCCTAAAAAGCAAGAAGCAGACCCAAAAACCACTACGAGTTCTTCGAATCCCAAATCTCCACTTATATTATACGAAACAAAGCTCGGGCTAGATGTCAATCTTGGAGTTAGGTGGCACCACGAGCCTCCATATCCACCTCTCTTCCCCTTCAAACTCCCACAAATTTCACGATCTCCACTTATATTATACGAAACAGAGCTCGGGCTAGATGTCAATCTTGGAGTTAGGTGGCACCACGAGCCTCCATATCCAACTCTCTTCCCCTTCAAACTCCCACAAATTTCACGATCGCCTTCAACGGTTAAAAAAAGGTAAGAGTCCAGAAGTTTCTTATGGTGCGGGTTTTATGCTAGGGTTTTTACTTCAGATTGTTTTGTGACTATTTCACCACTGGTCGTACTGATATTTACGGAACACGTCTGCTCGTTTCTGATCTGAAACGAGGGGGGTTTGGTAATTATGAGGACAACTAAACAACCAGATTGGACCGGTACGTGAAGAAATCTATTATATGCTTTTACCATATTTTCATGATTTTGTCCAATATAGTAGGAAGATAAGCTGGTGGTCTTCGTTCGCTTTGGTGCGCTGCGAATATACTTTATGTTTTGGGAAAATACATCCGCCGTCGGATTTTACTTATATTTGCAAAATGATCTCCATATGCTTACAAACCAACCCCATACTTTACCCTTATGACAAAATAACCCCAGATCTTAATCAAATTTAATCTTTTAACTATAGTGATCATTTTATAAAATAAAACAGTTAAAGATAAAATAAACCATAATGGTCAATGGGACTGGATTGGTGGTTTCTCGACTATGGCTTGCGTCTTGCTAACCAACTTAACTGTTTTCCTTTGATTGTGGAGTCCAACTCTCAATTGGTTGTGGAGCTTGTGAATGGGCCTTGTTGTGACATTCTTCACCTTGTATTCAGCCTTATTTCTAGCTGCAAAGCTATAATGATTGGTGTTGTGTGTTAAATTCAACATATTTTCAGAGAAAGTAATTCTGTTTGCTGATATGCTTGCTATTAGTATCAGAGTCACAGAGTCACCAAGCCCTTGGGTCTTTATATTTGGGATGTTGCCCCTCCACCTGCGAACAAGTTGAGTTTTAATGATTTGTGTAGAGTTTCTTTACTTATACTAATTGTTCCTTAGTGTTCTTGCTGGGCTTTTGCCCTCCAGTTTACCCCTTGTTGAGGCCCAAAAAATCCAAGGTTGTACCCAAATAAATTCCCGGCCCAATGCGATACTTTACTGAAAAGAAACGCGGTATGGGCATGCGAAAGTTTGTCATACACGCTCGTACAAGTTATGATCCACGTGCCATGCCAAATAAATATGTAATCCGTCATGCTGAGAGTTGAAGCGAGCCTATAAAATGCACTGGCTCTATGAACCCATACTAATTATCTCATCAAGCGTCATAACCTTAGAGCACGAGCACGCCAATAGACATGC